AAACCATCCAAGTTAGTGGCACCAACTGCCTCCTGAAGCAGCAAATTCCACAGTTTATAAAGCTGCCTCAAGAAGGACTTCCTTTATCCACCCTGAATCCAACCATTTCCAGTTTAATTGGATGTCCATGGATGTCCATGATGTTATGAGAGTTGCCAGAAAACTTTATCGTATTTCTCCATGACACACATCATTTTATGAACCTCTATCCTGTTACCTTACTTGTATTTTCTCTAAGCTAAAGAAATCCCAAATGTTGCAACTTTACTTTGTAGGGCTTGGGCTCCATCCCTTTCCTAGTTTTGGTTGCCCTTTTCTGAACCTTTTCAGAAAAAATATACTATCGAGGGAAGGTGGTCAGAACTGCACATGGTATTCCAAATGCTTTCTCCATCTTCCAGTTCAAACGGTTAAGGGGTTGGTGGTTGGTTTGTTTTTTGCAAGCCCGTGGTTCTTAGAACATGGCAGAAGGTGGTTGGTGGGCCCAGAAAGACTGCACAGTGGAGTGGTCTGCTAGTTGCGCTTGGAAGAGAGCATGAGGAGGCAAGAGGAGCCCCCAAAGACCCTGCTGCTGTGCCATCATTCCATCCGCACTGTGGCCAACCAGAAGCATCAGGGAAGCCTCTGAGTGGGACATGTGCTGTTGTGTCTCTGAATGGGGAAATGGGGAATATATTGCAAAACAACCTCTTTGATCTTCCCTTGTACAGGGACCACAACCTGTGCAATACATGCTTCTCATCATTTCTTGGGCAATGATGGCCTCACCTTCCTACAGCCAATTAAATCTGGGCAGGACTCCCCTGAGGATGTGGCCTTATAAAGCACCTGGCTACAGGCTAGAGAGCACTCTGCTCTGCCTCACCATGAAGTCTGGTGGCCTCGTCTTCTTCCTCGTGGGGCTCTTCGCTCTCTGTGCCATGATGCCCTCTGCCTCAGCCCAAGGTATGTGACCCCATTGGGGACAATCCTTCTGATGCTGGTTTGTGTGGGCCTCCAAGTGGGACCCCCTTCATCCCACACCCCCAAAGCCTTCCAGGTGTGGAGTCCAGACTCTTCAGAGGAGCAGAGGCACCGCTATACCTGGGAATGTTGTAGGTGGCTCCACAGTGAATCCTTCAATGTGTTGCCATCTCCTGTAGGAAACCAGAGAGTTCTTATGGATGGGAGGAAGAAAGAGAAGTGGGGTGATAGATGAGGAGGGGAGGGGAGGATGGAGATGGAGGCACCTCCCCAACACACACAAGCAACTAAAGGTGGCCCTTAAAGCTGCAGCCCAGGAGTTAAGCAGGTGCAGAAAGGAGGTCTCTGGTGCCCAGCCCATAGCTGGAAAGAACTTGGCATCAAGAAGAAGAAGAGTTTGGGTTTGATATCTGCTTTATCACTACCCAAAGGAGTCTCAAAGCGGGTAACATTCTCCTTTCCCTTCCTCCCCCACAACAAACACTCTGTGAGGTGAGTGGGGCTGAGAGACTTCAGAGAAGTGTGACTGGTCCAAGGTCGTCCAGCAGCTGCACGTGGAGGAGCGGAGACGCGAACCCGGTTCACCAGATTACAAGTCTACCGCTCTTAACCACTCCACCACACTGCACATCCCCATCAAGGGATGGGGGTGGCCATTGTGGGAGACGTTAGCCAGCCCCAGCAAAGACTGATCCAGTTGCAACCCAGATGTTCAACTCTGTGCTGTGCTCATCCTATAAAGGCTGGGGTAAATAAAGGCTTTTCAAATGTTGTCTCTGAGCCATAATGATGTTCTTTGTTGCAGGGAAGCCTGGAAATTGCCCTTTCTATGCTGCAATAGCGAAGCCACCTTGCATTAAGCGGTGTACTACAGATTATGATTGTCCTTCCGTCCAGAAATGCTGCCCAAAATTTTGCTCCATGGTCTGTGAAAACCCAAGTAAGATGCTGAGCCCCTTGTGGATGCTTTATTGTAATTTATTGCGCCCCCCCTTTTCCTTCACTATGGGCTCCCAGTGTGTGTTGCAGTTTGAAACTGCAGTTAAAACAAATTGCAGTCTCAGGAATAGAGTTGTTCCCCCAAAATGTAGATATCTATCAGGTAGGAACAACATAATGAGGGTGCCAGACACACCTCTGTGGGAAGGGAGTTCCCCCAACTTAGGGGCTGCCCCAGAGATGACTTTGTCAGGGTGGAGGAACTGCCAAGAGAGCCCGCCTGCTGATGTTTACTCCCAAGAGAGTCCGCAAGTATGGAGAAGCTCTCTCAGATAGTTGGTGCCTACGTTATTTAGGGCATTAGACATTAATGCAGGCACCTTGAATGGAGTCAGGAAAGGAACTAGGTGGGCTGAAGACAGCAGTTCTGCACAAATTGTCCAAGTTTTGCTCAAGGAGGGATGCCTGTTGCCTCTGAACTGACAGCTAAGAGATGGTCCATAATTATGACATGGGAACAGGGGGATGGGGCCAAGGCTCTGTCAGTGAGCACCTTGGTCCCAGGCTCCATCTGGGCATCTCCAGGTAAGGAAAACCCTTGTCATCTGCTTAGCTAGGGTGATGAGCACCGATCTCTCTAGGGTTCTTGGATGCCTGAACACTCTTTTATTCCTGCAGCAAAGTGATGACAGTGATGCACAGCCTGAAATCCCTGCAACTTCTACAGTTTTGGAGATGTGAACCCAGCACCCAAGGAGTGAAGGCAACGATAAACCCAGCTCCCTCTTGACCCAATGGGCCCGATCCAGCTTCCTTCCCTGCCTGCAATAAAATGATCCCTGTGCCTGCATACCAGAGTGTCTTGTTCTTGAGTCTTGCTTGCTTATATCTTTCCAAAAGGGTGTTGGCAGGAGGGAGGGAGGAAGAGCCTTTGGCTGAGGGCTGTGGAAACCCAACGGATCACACATACAGCCAGGGAAGGGCAGCTTCACAGTGTGGCAGAGTTAGCAGGGAAAATGCACTGGGTGAAGGGCAAAGGGTCACTGTCCGTTGGGGATAGGAGCAGGAGAACCATGGCCATTGATTTAAAGCAGGATGGGTGTAACGAGATCTTGTAGGTCAAACAATGCACCCCTCTCTTGACTTCTATCCCTAGTTCCCAAATATTTGACTAACGAATCAGGGCTTGCTGTGTCTTGCCTCTGGGACCCAGGTCCTTTGTGGTCTCTCTCCTGGAGTGTGTTGCTGCTTTCGTGCCCACTTTCCACTTTTGAAATCAACTGGACACAGGACAGCAGCAGCTGTGTGTGCAGGACCCCGCTGCAGTTCTGGGCAGGAAGGGTGACCAGAACTCCTGGGGCCTCTTCCTCTGGTTGTTCAGCAGCCAAGAGCTGATTCCTGTTCCACACAGAGTCCAAAGTGGCAGCAGTGTGTGACCCTCAGGTGGAAGACTCAGGTGGGAGCAGTGTGACTATGAGGAGTCCTAACCACATGGAGGGATGCAGGTGGCACTGTGAGTGAAATATACTCCGGGATTCTTGGCAGGCCTGGCAGTGTTTGACCCAGGCCTCTATCTCTCCATCGATCCCCGGCCACCACACATAACTCCTGGCAAGGGCCTTCATTCTTACTACCCCTGGATGTGTCTCGTGTAGGGCTGTGAGGACCCTTTTGCGGAGGGGCTGGGGAACAACGACTCTGCTTCCCCGTAACAGGCACCCCTTGTGGGCCGACAGTTCATGTTTGCGGGTTGTGTCGCCGGCGAATTCTGGCCCGGGGCTGCTGCTGGGCCACACCCAGTCCAGGACCCGGGAGATGACCCTATCTTTCTTGGAATGGTGTGCAACTTCTTGTGCCTGAATGGGGCGGTCGGGAAGCAGCTCCAGGCTCATAACCTCTTGTGCAGGTGCTGGGTCAGGGCCTGTTTCCGGTAGTGGTAGCCTGCTGAGGGCGTCCGCATGGCCCATCGCCTTCCCAGGTCGGTGAATCAGTGCATACTGGTAGCTGGCAAGGAAAATTGACCACCTGAGGACGCGAGGAGACAGCACTTGGGGGGTCTGCTTTCGGGGCAAACAAGCCAAGCAACGGCTTGTGGTCAGTCACCACGGTGAAGGGCCGCCCGTACAAGAAATCATGGAATTTTTTTACTCCCTTTACGATTGCCAGACCCTCCTTGTCGATTTGCGAGTAGTTCCGCTCGGTTGTGTTGAGTGTCTGGGAAAAGTATGCCACCGGTACCTCTCTTCCATCCGGGAGTTGGTGCCCCAGGACAGCTCCAATGCCATAGGGTGAGGCGTCGCATGCTAGCACCACCGGCAGCCTCTCGTCGAAGTGTGCCAAGACCGAGTTTGAGACAAGCAAGTCCTTGACTGCCTGGAATGCGGCCTCCTGGCGCTGGCCCCACACCCAAGGGGCCCGCTTGTCCAGGAGTCTGTGTAGGGGCTCCGCTACTGCCGCCTTGTGGGGAAGGAAGGAATGGGAAACGTGCAATAGTCCCAAGAAGGCCTGAAGTTCAGTCTTGCTCTTGGGCGCTGGGGCATCACAAATGGCCCGTACCTTGTCCCCAGTCGGGTGGACCCCTTCTGCGTCCACCATAAATCCCAGAAAGTCCACCTGAGGCACTCCTAGTAGACATTTTTCCCGCTTCACCTTGAGACCCGCCGTCTGGAAACGGTGCAGAACGGTGCGGAGGCGGTCCTCAAACTCCTCTGGTGTGGGGCCGGCAATCAACACATCATCGAAGAAGGGGGTGACGCCAGGAATCCCTTTAAGGAGAGAGTCCATTAGATTCTGGAATATGCCAGGTGCCACGCTGACACCGAATTGCAGCCGCTTTACCCTGAACGCTCCTCTGTGCGTCACAATTGTCTGTGCCTCTGCTGTGGCCTCATCTACCGGCAGCTGTTGATATGCTTGGGCCAAGTTCAGCTTGCCAATTTTTTTTGACCCAACCAGGGTGGCAAGGACATGGCTGACCACTGGCACTGGGTATGCATGGGCCATGAGGGCCTTGTTTATGGTACATTTGTAGTCTGCGCAGATGCGGACCGAACCATTAGGCTTGACGGGTGTGACGATAGGGGTTTCCCAGGGGGCATTAGGCACCGGCTCCAGCACTCCTTGCTCCACCAGTCGGTCCAATTCCTCGTCTATACGGGGTTTCAAGGCGAACGGGACCCGGCGGGCCTTGAGCCTGACCGGTCGTACTGCGGGGTCAAGCTGTAGCGCAATGGGGGGGCCCGTATACTGTCCCAATTTCCCATCGAAAACCCCTGGAAATTCCTTGCATATGGCGTCCACGTCCACTTGTAAGCTAGTGTGGTTCACCCCGGTGACAGCTAGCCCCAGTGGTCCAAACCACGCCAATCCCAGTAAGCTAATGTAGGGGCCCTTGACCACAAGCAAGTCCAGTTGCCGCGTCCGCCCTCGGTAGTGCACCCTGAAGGTCCCCACCCCCATTGTGGGGACCTTACGTTTCTGGAAGTCCCGGAGGGTGAATGGGGCCGGCCTGAGTTTGGGACCCCCAGTGGGACACAGTTTCCTTAAGGTCCTTGCCGAGATTATGGATAGAGTTGAACCCGTGTCAAGCTCCATGCGGCATGGGGCCCCTCTATCTGTACCTCTACATAAATTTTCTCTACGTTGGGGTGGGGCAACTGGTATACCTGGAAGTCCGTGAGCTCCGTCGAGTTGCCTTGGTGCGTTGGGCCCCGGGACCTGGGGCTCTTGGATTGGTCATCTGATGCCTGGTGTCGGGTGGGCCGGAGCCCGACACACCCGGGCGATGTGTCCCGATTTTCTGCACTGCCTGCACTCTGCGTTGCGGAAACGGCATGTCCTCCTCTCGTGACTCTCCCCGCAGCTTGCGCAGTTCCCTCCTTCTCGTCGAGGCAGCTGTGGTCTGTGCGCTGCTTGAGTGCGCTGCTGTACTCGGTGCACCTCCTCCCTGTCGGATCCTGAGTCGTCTGTGAGGTCTTCGTGGTGGACCCTCGGTTGGGATGGCAGGCTCGGCCGTGCCTCTTGCGTCAACCTCTCGGCAGCTTCCGTTGCCAGGCCTCCTCCAGAGCAACCTGGAACGTTAGGTCCTTCTTAGTGTAGAGGCGTCGTTGCAGCTTCTCATCCTTCAGGCCACCAACGAGACGGTCACGAAGCATGTTCTCCAGCTCTGAGAAGTTGCAGAACCGGGCGGCTTGGCAGAGAGAGGTCACAAACCCAGTTATGGTTTCCCCAGGGGCTTGCCGCTTTGCGTGGAAGGCATTTAGACGAGCCACCACTGAGGGCTGCGGTGAAAAGTGCCCCTTCGGCCATTCCATTATTGTTTTGTATGGAACAGTAGCGACGTCTTCAGGCGCAAGGAGAGCCCGGGCGATTTCAAACGTCTCCTCTCCGCAGACGCTGAAGAATATCGCCCTCTTCTTGGCGTCTTCTTCGTCGGTGACCCCTTTGGCTTCTAGGAGGAAGGTGAAACGGGAGGCGTACGCTTCCCAGTCTCCAGATGCTGGGTTGAATGGCGAGAAGCTGCTGTTGGCTGCCATTCTGAGTTCCTTGTGTCCCGGAGCTGAAGCCTGGATACACGGTGCGAGGCAGCGGTGCGGCAGGTGGCGGTGCTGCGGTGCTGTGTGTGGCAGTCAGCTCAGCGGGATCCCACCTTCGTCGCCAGTGAAATATACTCCAAGTCGCAAAGTGATTTCATGCTCTTTATTCAGCTCATAGTGGTGAGGAGGAATGAATGAATGTCCCCTCACAGTATCTGCTTTATATACATTATTTACACAATGGGCTGCACATGATAGGCTAATTCTGGAATTCTACTGTAAGCCAATCAGGTTGTGGATTCACTTCTATCTGGAGCAGGATTGGGTGGTTCCTGCCAACCAATCATACTGCTGCATTGTTCTAGGACCAATCAGACTGCTGCATTCTGAATCCTATTGTTCTAGGACCAATCAGACTGCTGCCTTTTGGATCCTATTGTTCTAGGACCAATCAGACTGCTACAGTTTGGATCCTATTCAACTCAGTACATAACACCGAGTTAAACCACAGAGTCTAGGACTTGCCAGTCAGAAGGCTGGCGGTTCGAATCCACACAACAGGGTGAGCTCCCGTTGCTCGGTCCCTGCTCCTGCCCACCTAGCAGTTCGAAAGCACCTCAAAGTGCAAGTAGATAAATAGGTACCACTCCGGCGGGAAGGTAAACGGCATTTCCGTGCGCTGCTCTGGTTGGCCAGAAGCGGCTTAGTCATGCTGGCCACATGACCCGGAAGCTGTACGCCAGCTCCCTCAGCCAGTAAAGCGAGATGAGCCCGAGAGTTGGTCATGACTGGACCTTACGGTCAGGGGTCCCTTTACCTTTTTAACCACATGGAGCCAGGCCTTTCAGGCTGGGAGTCCTGTTCCTTGGAGGCTGGACCCCATTTCCATAGGGTAGCGAGGCGTCCTCTTCATGCCACCCCAAAGACACCCATTTCACAGAGACTCAGATTCCCAACCAAGTCAAATATACTCAGTCCTCCCAAGCCCTCTTTCTGGGTCTCGAAAAAGGAGAGGGGAGGACCCACACCAATGGGTTGAAGTCAAAACAAAGGGGGTCTCAACTAAACATTAGGAAGGACTTTCTGACAGTAAGAGTTGTTTGACAGTAGAACAGACTCTCTCCTTCATTGGAGGTTTTTAAGCCAAAGTTGGCTGGCCAGGGATGCTGTCATTGCCTTCCATCTTCCAGCCCCCAGCCACTTTCCAGTTAAGCCAAGCAGCCCAATAGCATTATGATGTCAGCCATAACAGTGACAGAGAAACATCCCAGCTTATTAAAGAGTCAGATGTGCCTGGCAAAGCGGAAGGTGAGCA